GGGCATATCTTGAAGAACCACAGATTTCAAGGGCAGCTGAGCTGGTGGAAATACCGAGCTTCTGTCTACCCCCGTTTGATCAAAGTAATGGAGAGTAGATTGTGCATTGTAGCAACATCTGTCCCGTCAGAGGGGGTATTAATAATAATAATAATAATAATACATTTTATTTATAAGCGCCTTCTCACAGACTGGACAAATTGAAGTAGTCCAAGTTGAAGTATTTAGTTTTGTTGACTGCAAATTTAAAACAAAGCAAGGAGTAGCGTATGTTTGTTAAAATAAAGCAAGGAGTATCTTATGTTTGTTTTGTTCACTGCTGCTGTTGCAGTTAATACTCACTATTTTTGTTATGATGCAGCATGTTTGATTGTTGTTGGTTGAATTTTAATTTTGTTGCTTGTTTATTGTTTGGAGCCTTTTTAATGCTCCATAAAATAAGTAAAAAGCCATTTCTTTGCTTGATAATTGTTGCTATTTGCAGTCAGTAGAGTGCAATATTTAACTCACCAAGTCATTTATCAAAATGTATGCCATATTTGTCATAAATATTTAAAAGAAAAGCTAAAGTTAAAAGAGCCGTTTGAGAGCCAAAAAGAGCTGGCTCTTTTCACTGAGCCGATCGAAATGAACCAGATGTAAACAAACTACCGTACATTCCGCGCGGGAGTCCGTGAACGCATCCTTAGTTGAGTCGCACAGCTTTCTGGGACTTTTAGTTTGCCTATCGGGGAAGGTCCAGTTGTATGTGACAATATAAACTACATTTCCCATGATGCTTTCTCACTACGCGGAAGTACGTGCTCATTGGCGTCAAACTGTTATCAGCGAGTTTTGATAACGTTTTGTGAGTTTGTGCGGGCTCAGTAACCACTAAAGAGTTGAGTGAGGACAATATAAAGTGTGTCTTTCCTTAAAAAATGACCATTGTCGTATTCGTCAAGAATACAGCACAGGTTACGTCGAGGCGATGTTTTAGTTCTCATTTAAAGGGCCTTTCGAGAACGGGAGAGTCTCTTTCGTCTCGTTGGCCTCACATTAGTTCCTCGCCACCGGCAACATGGTCGTCCTGGACTACCGGCCTACGTTTCATGTCCCAAGGGACCGCAAGCAGGTCATCAGCCGGCGGGCGAAGCTGCAGGCGCGGAGCCCTGGCGCTGAGCGGGGCCGCTGCAGTCACCGCAGCCGCTGCATTCACGGGCTTCCTGGCCAACATCAACCACTTGCAGCGGGCCGAGATGGCGACTCTGGTACCCCGAGCCGTCGAGGAGGAACAGGAGGAAGGGGACATCCTGGCGAGGTGCCGGGGATTCATGTCTCCTCCGGTCACTGACGTCGAGGTGCTGCAGCGGAGGAAAGGCGAGATGTGCACCAGGATGGAGATGCTCATCATGGAGACGCAGGCCGAGTTCTGCAAAGCTTTGGAGGCGGTGGACGGTGGGACGTTCAAGGTGGATCGCTGGGAAAGAAAAGAAGGTAGTAGGCACTGTTGTTTGCTAAACAGCATTTACACATATACACTTCAATTTTCGACATAATGCGCTTTGGGGGGAAAATTTCAGGATATGGTGCATTTTAGGTGCATTCTAAAATTTAGGTTTGAGTATGTTTCTCTGGCAAATAAAGCCACGTTTGATCTTCTTAAACGTCCTCATTTGTCAACCGAGTCAAACCATTCTAATGTGATAACACTCATTCAGGCCATGCGGGCAGGGGCAACTATTTGTTACATTCTCCAACATTCCCACAATTCCACATTTTCCATAAAACAAATATTGAAAGGAACTTAGTTGTTTCCAAATGTCACATATTTATCAATTATTTATCTCATTCGGGACATATTTCAAGGTATTTTCATGTTCCCCAAAGTTCCACTATTTTTTCAGTGCTATATTCCACATTTTCTTAAATGAAATTCCTTACTTCATGCCAACACTTTTAGAATTTTTACACAATGCTCCCACATTTCTTAAATGATTAAGACCATTCCAACTCCAAAATGTTCAGCTTGTTTATGCTATCGTGGGAGCTAAATTTCATACATGCCAATAATTCTCACTTTTGCAGAATACATTTGACTGATGTTTGCATGCATGAAACGGCGTAGATGTTGTGTTTCAGGTGGTGGTGGGATCAGCTGCGTGATGCAGGATGGCAAAGTATTTGAGAAGGCCGGCGTCAATGTGTCAGTTGTGTTCGGAAACTTGACCGAAGAGGCGGCCAAGCAGATGAGGAGCAGGGGCAAGGTCCTTAAAGGGAAAGATGGTAAGCGCCGTCATCTTCATCAACTGTTCCGGGTGATATTTTTGCATTTCTGTGTGTCACAGAAATTAACCACTGTAAGATTAAAAAAAAAAGAAAAAAAGTCCAAGTCATTGGAGAAGCCTGGCAAGAATGAAGGACACAAAGTAGCAAAGGTAAATAATGACATGTGATGTGTTTCTCAGGCAAACTGCCATTTTGTGCCATGGGCGTGAGCTCCGTAATCCACCCTAAGAACCCGCACATCCCCACCGTGCACTTCAACTACAGATACTTTGAGATTGAGGAGGAAGACGGTGAGCGTGCCGCTGTCTGCTCCTTGACGTCAGCAGCCGTGTCTTCGTATCCATGACTCCATTCAACTCATGAATGAATCATCACCCTTGTCTCCTCTCTTTTATGCGCGTGTATTGTAGGCTCCAAACAGTGGTGGTTCGGTGGCGGCACAGACCTGACTCCGGTCTATGTCAATAAAGAAGATGCTTTTCACTTTCACAACACGCTGAAGGAGGCCTGCGACAAGCACCACTCGCAATACTACGCCGACTTCAAGAAATGGTACAAAAGGATGTGCGCCTTAGGGTGTGATGTCATCACGTGGGATGCTGAGGGTGTTTCTTGACTGCGTGACGCTGATAAGACAGCAGTGTAGGAAAAGACCGTTGTGACCGTGGCTATCTGATGCACTGCAGAGGGTGGCTGTTGTCAAGTAATTTAAAGTCAATATTTAATGGACGGTTTATTTTGACCCCCTCTAAATATAATGAAATCAACTACAAGAGCTGCTTCAAAAATATGCAACATGGATGCTGCCAGAAAGGTACTAATTTAATCATATGGTTATGACTGCGGTTACTGTTTTTTCCCCCCCACATCAGTCAGTCCAAAGTAGAAATTTACTTCATACATTTTACTTCAGTATTTCAAATAAAAGAGTGAAACTCATACAGACAAACATATAGGAACTAAATAATGTTTGTTGGCTGACTTTTTTTTCCCATGGAAATTGCAGGTTATTAAGAAATGATCTTTTGTCGTAGCCCTTAGTTATTCTTCCGATGTGTCAATTTGTGTTCTTTCAGGTGTGACCGATACTTCTACGTCCGCCACAGAGGAGAGACTCGAGGCATTGGCGGGATCTTCTTCGACGATCTCGACGGCCCCAGTCAGGAGGAGGCTTTCGGTTTCGTTAAAAGCTGCGCCCGCACGGTGGTGCCCTGCTACCTGCCCATAGTGCACAAACACCTGCGCGATCCTTTCACCGCCGAGGAGAAGGACTGGCAGCAGGTGCGACGAGGAAGGTGAGCGTGTCGCTATTTGGGCCACCCTGAAAAGAAAAAGGAAACTACACGGGCTTCATACTGGATATTCCCCAGATTAACATTGTAGTTCTACAAGAATAAAGTCAGATTTTTAAGTTAAAGAAGTTGTATTTTTTTCAAGGAAAATTTTATGAGAAAAAAAATTAAAAATACAATTTCCAAGATTAAAAAATTATATTTTCAACATGAAGTTTGTACAAAAATGGTCATATTGTTAAGGTAAACAATAATTGTCATATTTTGAGGATTAAAAACATGTATTTTTTGAGATGAAGAGTAATTTTGCAAGGATGAAATCACGTTCTCAAGATAACATTTTATATCTTCAACATTAACTTCATTTTGCATGGATAGTCATATTTTTATGAGAACAAGCTTTGAGATGAACATTGTCACTTCACAAGAATATAATCTAGTTTTCACAATAAAAACATTTTGGAAATGAACGTAATTTTACAAGAATAAAGTTCTATCTTTTCAAGACAAATGTGTGGTCACATCAACCATTAAATTCTTACCAGTATCAGGACGATTGTGTCTGCTTTTGAATGAAGAACAACACACATTTGTCACATGTGAGACCAGCGTGACGTTGTGCTTCAGGTATGTGGAGTTCAACTTGGTGTACGACAGAGGAGTGAAGTTCGGCTTGGCCACGCCGGGATCCCGAATCGAGAGCATCCTCATGTCTCTTCCCCTCACCGCCAGGTAAGCGGCGCAGCGCTGTCAAAGCCGCCCGACAAGCCGCCGGCGTCGCTGAGTTGACCGAGTTGACTTTTCCTCCTCAGGTGGGAGTACATGCACGAGCCCGCCCTCGGGACCCGAGAGGCCGAGATGCTGGAGGTGTTACGAAACCCAAAGGAGTGGCTGTGAGCGCCATGTTGACAGGTTTACGCGTCAATATGGACGGAACATCCGAACGCATAACACATGAATGCACTTGCTTGCTGTGAATTATGTCAGTGTGTTGAAAAGGTGTCACTTGTTTTTCTGGTCTGGTTTCTCTCTACAGCAGTTCAATATTTGGCTTTTGGATCATGTTTCATGCAAAGGTGGCGGTTTGAGAGGCGTACTGCGAGGACTAATTACAAATTTCACATTTCACCGTTTGTTTAAAAAACAGAATACAATCAACAACAGAAATGGTACATCATTTGGTTCACTACACACAATTGTGAATGTCATTGGTACTGGGATAAACTTGGTGACCAATCCCTAGTATGCATGGTGTTAAAAGTATTCTATATATATGTATTGATGCAGCTTTCATTTTCCTTTGTTCCTGTCTCTCTTTGTAAATAAATCCCAAGACTTGTGATTTATAGTTTGGAGTTCAACTTGTATTATTTGACAGAATTGATCATTCTTAGTGCACCATGAAAGCTATGAATCTCACCCTGTAAATAAGGGGACTTATTTAATTTTTTTTCCAACAGTTGAACTTCACCGAGTTATAAAGCATGAATACTTTTTGTACAGATGGTGCAGCACTCAACATAAAAGCAATCTCAATGCAATAATGTCAGCTCACATTGAACTGACAAAATTTGTCTAAATCTTAACTGAGAAAAAGCGACCTTTGATTACCGCCTTGTGGAAGACAGTAAGAGAAATGTGACACATTTGCCATTTTTTTTATATTATAAATCATTTCACGGGAGGCACAGTAGTCGACTTGTTAGCATGTCTGCCTCACAGTGCCGAGAATGTGGGTTCAAATCCGTTCCCGGCCTTCCTGTGTGGAGTTTGTATGTTATCCCTTCAAAACATGCATGGCAGGTTAATAGAGCACTAGATTGTCCCTCGGTGTGAGTGTGAGCGCAAAAGGTTCTTCGTCTAGGTGTTCCCTGCAATTGGCTGGCAACCAGTTCAGGGTGTACCCTGCCTGCTGCCCAAAAACAGCTGGGATAGGCTCCAGCACACCCGCAACCCTTGTGAGGATAAGATGATCATATAATAGATGGATGAATCATTTCACACTTTTGTACATATTAATAAAGATTTATTACAGGTTCCCTTGCATTTTATGTTGCCTTACTTTAACTAAGGCATTGTGTAGCAGTGAGTTAGAATGGAAACAAACACAACTCACTTCAAGGTCATGTAAAGTAATGAGTGCTGCGTTTCATGAAACAAAAAAAAAAATCTGTGCTCTGCATACATATCGATATTTTGCATTTCATGTTTGCAATAGAATACAACAAGTGTGCCTGGGCTCTATTTTTCAGTCAGGGGTGTAAAACTGCATTGAATCAATATCATTCAAGTAGGCATATTTTAAAACAAATTGATTTTGTAATCAGAAGTCAAGCAAATATTTTAGTAAACAACTGTTCAATTCGAAGGAGGGGGAATTTGGTAAAAATGAATGCTTATGAAACCATTTCACGTGAATACAGTACATATTTTCTGCCAAAATGGAAAGCACAAATCCATTTAGCAAGAAACAGGAACTCGAGAAGATTATCTGTAGTGGGCCACAGAAACGGAGCGTATAGTTTGACGCCTGTGGTTCAAGCTGTTTTGAAATGTTAAATTCATGCAGACACTTTAGCCTCAAGTCGAATCCCTCTCAATGGACCGTTGTCATCACACCAGGCGAAACTAAAAAGAACATTTGATAACTTTGACATTAGAACTGACAAAGTCCAAACAGCATTTTGTCGAAAGGGCTCATTGTGAGCTTCCATACAAGTGCCTTCTTTGAGTTATCAGCTAAAATAGTTCCATGGATATTAACGCATTCGTATGCAGTAAAAGGCAATTTTACTGGAACCTGACTTTCACACCGACAATACATACAGTATTTATATATATTTATATATACACACAGATACACTTGACACATGCCACAATGGACAATCTTCCCTGCGAACGTTTTCCCCAAAGCTTCCGTGTCAAATGCCTCGTTTCCAATTTTCCTGCGCGTGTAACGAGGCACTGTCAAACGACATGTGGCGCTTTGGAGCACAGAGAAGATTTTCACAGTTGAGTGTGGCGTCAAAAGCCAACAAACATAGCGGGGCAAGGCGATTTAACTTCACCTAAGAGGCAACATGTATATGACGTATTAAACCGTTCCTCATGTCCCAATTCCTTGCGTAACACATTTCATTACTGACTGTAATGTATGGAAAGTCATTTCGGCATTTATTTGATGTCCTCGGACTTGTGTGCTACATGTTCTCAATCGTAAATATCTTCAACACAGTTGCAGAACGACTGTCTGTTACTCGTAATTTTTTTTCTCCAACTATTGCATGACTTTTCTGCATCCGAGTAGGACAGCTACATTGCTAGTGAAGCAAAACAAAAAACTCGTTGAAAAAGAACTACTAGATGTTAGCGAATGGAATTTTACAATGTTACCAGTAGTATTAGTAGCAAGCGGCTGTCAACTAGTTATGTTATACCTCACTTAGGAACATGTAGTTGTCCAACTACTGTGCAGGACTTTTATACAGTAGTGGAAAAATATGTTACGAGTGCACCAAATTTTCAAACTAGTGAGGACAAAGAGACCTTTGCTAGACAAAGATTGTGATGCTGAACAAATGCTCAAATGGCTTTCCATGCATGATGCTGCAAGTACAAGTTAGCTGGAGATGTTGCTTTCCTGAATGAGTGCGGCTTTATCGAGCTGATGAAGCCACACGGTTATGTCGTTTCCTAGCCGCGCGAACGAAGTAGCATGAAGCACTTGGCACTGATCTCCAGTAAAACACGAGTACAACAGCATGGAGAAAGATCCTTCGGTGTGGCAATCACCATTTTGTTTTTCCTACTTTGGCCTAATGAGAAGTTCACCTTGCTACAGCGTGACAGCACGGATGTTTTTTGCATTTGGTATTTGCTGCATTCACTTGCTCGGTCCTCCTCTCCAACGGTTAGTAAGTGCAAATGTTGAGTGCTGGCAGAGATTGCATCGTGATGCTAAGATGGCGGTCCGTTTACTTCCCGCTGGTGTTGATGATGTCCTCGTACTGTGGCGGGGGTTCCGTCTCCACGCGGACGTCGGCGCGGCCCACCGCCTCCTCGTACGACGGCGGGCGGTCGGCGGCGCTCCCCCGCGCGGACGCCGCTTCTGCGCCCAGGTACCCCACGGGGCTGCTGTGGGCGCTGAGTTCCGAGCGGTCGTCGTGGTGATAATCCCGCCCCCAGTGGTCCGTGGAGACCACCGACAGCACGTGGTCGTGGTGAGAGTGGGCCAGGCCGGGGCTGCGCTGCGAGCGCTTGCGGGAGTGGCAGCAAAACACAATGACAGCCACAGCCACCACGATGAAGACCACCGTCAGCAGCGGCACGATCAGGTAGAGGGAGTGCACGCCGCCCACCACCGACTCCAAACCTCCCGAAGGGCTGCTCTCACGCACGTACTCCTCCCAGAAGCGCCTCTGCCCACAACCACAACACACGTTAGGACCACCTGGTAGCAGCAGGCCCACCATTGAGTTACATTTACAACTAGGGTCTTTCTGCTAGAGTTTTTATTTAGGCTGATGGTCATTCTGATATTTGGCAGAATAATATGACGATAATCGATTAATCGGCTGATGCGCATATTGTTGGGACTATAAGTCGCACTTTTTTCAGAGTTTGGCTGGCTACGCGACTCAGGTGCGACTTATGCATCTTAAAATTAGAGCTCGGACTGGCACCCGAAATCCCCGTTCTTGAATCGTGTTGACGACGGTGAACGAGTTCTTAGTGAGGTTGAAATTTCCCCTTCGAACTTAAGAAACGTTTTGCTTTTTAGTTTAAAAATGGACAGATTTCTTAGCTTTTTCCTCCCCACATGTTGATATGAGCAAGCACTGTTATAGCTGAATTTGACTCGAAACACACGTCTGTAGCGATCTGCATGCATTTCATAATCAACATCTCTGGTAGAGTCTGTTGTATTATATTCAAATTGTTGAGGTTTTTTTTCAAGCAGTTACACAAATATTCCACCAGACGATTTGCATAGCACAGTTTTGTGCTGTTATACTACAGCACCTTGAGATTCGTGGTTGTGTTGTCAAAATGTACACTGAGTAATCATTTCCTGCTGTATAATTGTCATCACAATTTGCCCTTCGGAGGTGGAAAATAAGCACACAAAAAAAAAAAGCTTCAAATATTAAAAAAAGATTTTGAGGCGTATATTAAAAAGAAAGTTGTGGGTGATTTGGGGTATGTTGGATTTGGGAGATTTATTCTGTATTTCCTCCAATAGCCATTGGGGGAATTTATTCCTTCAACCGCAACGATTATTGAGTGTTTGTTCGATTTAAGACAGAGTGGATGTCATGATTTGATGGACAACAAATTAAAAGGGGTCAATGCAACATGTGTCACAGTGCCCGTTTCTGAAATACTTCTCTTCTGAATCACGACAAAACAATATGGGACCAAACAATGCCCTCAGATGACGTAACCGACATGATTGTGTGCCTTGAGTGACACGACACCAGCTGACCAGCTGCCAACAATAGGTGAGAGCATATACAACTCCCCCCACCACCGCACAACCACCGCGCACCTGGTTGTTCTTCCTGCTGCTAATAATCACTTCCTGGAACAAAAGACATGCACGTCCATATCGTAGGAACGGCAGTGTAGGATTCTATATTGTGACATATGAAGCCAAGGCACCTAAAATGCAAGTCAGGGTTCAGACAAATACAAAATTCCACAATTAAAAACACAACATTACATGGGAAGCAACTTAGAGTGAGAGAGCCCTGGATGAGTTGATCTCACCAAGCACAGGAAACAAGTGTTTTGCTTTGCCTCGACCTTCTTTTGGCTGATGTTAACACTAAAGGATAGCATCCATTTTCTATCGTGCATGTCTTTTTCAGGTCGCGAGTTAGCTGAGCATTCGCCAAACTATTCATACCTGTGGGCAATGAAGAACCTTCAAATTCAACTACCCGAAGCATGTTTTTGGAATGTGGGAGGAAGTCAGGAAGTTCATGTAAGCATGGAGCCAACACGCAAACTCCACACAAGCACTGTAGGATCCTGTGATGGCCAAGAGCAAAGGTGCGATGCTGACCATACTACAGGAAACGGCCATCATTCCCACATACTGGAGCAGTAGTGGAGTGTTGACAGTACAACTCTTTGGTGGCCGCTCGGCACAATAAGGCTAATTTGACTAGAACAACAACAATCACATGACTGCCGTTTATTGACGTAACCAGAAAACTGCGCAGTTAGCTTGTTCTGTTTCAGTAGAAATAGTAACTGGCACACTTTCTGTCCTGAAGAGGATGGAGACATTCAATAATCTCTTTCTAATTAGCAAGTAGGATGCGCTTGTTTGCAGTGAACAAATTGTGTCCCCCCCACTCCCTCCCCCCAACCTAATAAACATAACATCTCACAATATGCATAAAAAAAATCAGGCCCAAACAAGTACATTATAACATGAAACCGTTGCTTTCTGAAGACGGAGAATTGAGCCGTTTAATAATCTATATCTAATCAGCAAGAAAGAGACTGATCTTGAAAAGCTTTGCTTCTGCAAAATGGACTTGTGTTGAGCAATAAGTGTGCCAAATCACAGTGGCAGAAAATGGAATTACACCCCAAAACAAAACAACACGACCGAAATTATTACTGAACAGAAAAAAAAATCCATAAACTAGTGGGACCACGAACTCAGAACCCATCATGGAGGGGCGTTCACTATAGAGTAAAATAAATAAACAAATAAAGAAATAACAATAAGCCACCCCAAAAGACACTGGATTTTTGGAGGTATTTTGACAATGTGAAATATCATGCATGTGAACAGGTTTCTCTGCTCTCTCATTTTTGACCGCTCCTTCCAAGAAGACGTATGTAGGAATAGTTGTTACAATTATATTATTGTATTATTTTTTTATGTTATGCGTTTCATCGTATTATTTTCGTTATTTTATGTTAAATGTTCTGTAAAGTGCTCTGTTAGAGCGGCAGTTGTGAAAACGCTACATAAATAAAGATGTATTATATCATCATCATCATCATCTCACCGTCTTGTCGTCATTTTCAAAAGCCTCGCGGGCCTCCTCGTAGGTGCAGATTTCCTCGCGGCACTCCCTTTGGATGTTGCCCTGCTTCATCTCCTCCAGGAGGAAGTTGGCCCTGGGCAGCCGCCGCAGCACCGAATGGGCCTCGTCCACCGGCAGGAACACTGAGGTTGGGTCATGCATGGTGGAGGGAGAGAGGGGAGAGATTTTGCAATTTGTGAGAAAATGCATGGAAAAAAAAGTGCCGGCGGTTGCAAGTAAGCAACCCGGTGAGGGGCAACAAGGGGGAGGAAGATGAGAACAAATGAAGCAAAGAAAGTGCAAAGGAGAATGTGGCTCACGAAGAACAAAAGGAGGATAGAGACAGAAACAAAAAGAGGAAGAGTGGCAGGGGCGCTAACGGAAACAAAGCCTATGTGGTGCCCACTTTTTCTTCACACTAATAAGAGCGACTTTAATTTTGGCACTGATCCCGGGACAAACTGTTGGGATGAACTTGATGTGACAAAGGTGCTCGTTTCTCACATCTCGATGGGAACACCACATGCCCTGCCTGCTGTATTACTTTCTTAACAAGTCATGACGTCCATGTGACTCAAAGACTTGATCCAAAAACAAACACATGATGCATGAAAATGGGACACTCTCATCAAAGGAAAAAGTGCAATTGCATGTTGAATTTTAAAAAAAAACAACAACAACCAGGAAGCACTAGCAGCAACATTGATGAAAACAGACACATTATCAAAGAAAAAGGCACTATGATCTCAGAAAATATAAGCGATGGAGTCATGGGAGTTTACAGTGTAAAATGTCAGCAAGCTTACCACTCCCCATGCTTCCTGTCAGTCTCCCCCCGGGTTATCTGCAAAGAATAAACACATTTTTCAACTTGCTGATAAAAGTCAGACAATTATTGACTGTGCCGCCCTGTTAAAAACCTCTAACATTCTTCCTCTTCAGCGTTTAGTTTTTACCCTCCCGAAAATCAACTCATTTAAAGTGGGAAGAGTGTCGCACTTGGACATGCGATAGTAAATTAAGGTAATTAACAGGAATAACCCGCGACACTAGTGAGGACTAGAGAAATGGATGGAAAAGTTGGTCATAATAATACGATGTAATCAATTGGAGAAAAGTGCCGTCACTGTTGGCCGGGTGAGGCATCTATCGTCCCCGTGTGACTGACCAATGGCGGCGGCTGTCCACGCTTGTTCATGGGCGGCTTCGGGGAACCGCAGAAGACGAAAACAGCCACCAAGAGCAGGCGACAACGGAAACGAAGACAACTACGAGCTGTTTGGTTTTCAAACTGGGACTAAAAAAAGTTTCCCCGCAGCTGGCTGGTTGGCTCTCTAAACGCCGTTACATAAATGTTGTCGGTCTCGGCCCGTCAGCTTGCATCGCAAAGCGGGGATGAGGCTAGCTAGCGCCCCGTACGTGACAACCAATCAACCGTGGGGGATGATTTGGAAAGCGGACAGCAAAACAACATATTCCCCCGACTCAAAGCCCGATATATGTTATTCGCACACTACCTCATTTGTAACTTCATGTCAGTAAATACATCTGAGGATAATAGTCAAAATCGCTTACCTTCTCCGTTGGCCAGAATGCGCATTTACGATTGCCAAATCTCGTCGGCGCCCCCCCAGCACTGACTGTTGCTATGATCAGTGCGCATGCGCATAACTGTCTTTTTGCGGCATCCGAAGAACTGATCCACTGATCATTAAAGGCACAGAAAGGCGCTCAAAAAGATGCTGACAGACGATCAATGTAACGATCGTTTGTCACATATATTCAACGCTCGGCTGAAAAAATACTATCCATAATCAGAGCCGAATGAGGTGTGACTCTTTTTCATCTCTGGTGTTTCTTGCGTTTCAGAGAGAGAGAGAGAGAGAGAGAGAGAGAGAGAGAGAGAGAGAGAGACTTGAGAGAGAGACACGCGCACACACACACACACACACACACACACACACACACACACACACACACACACACACACACACACACACAGTCACACAGTCACACACGCTTACTTGCTTAGCGATGACACGTATGATCCATTCCGCCCGAAATAGCGGCCCAAACGGTCCATAAAGCAGGCCAACCAAATTCTCGCCGTCCCAGGTTAGACACTTTGGGCTACTAGGTCTACCAAAAGTACTTTATTTATTGATTTTGATACTAACCCGCGGACCAAATTGGCGCCTCCGAGCGGTCCACCAAGAAATTTTACGTCGGTCAGATATGTCATACGAGACCGGCGGTGAGCCTGTGTGTAACAATACTGGATGGCCTTTGGAAGTGATGCTCAGTATTGAACAATTGACACTATGCCACGGGCAACCATTTATCAATACATTTATAATTGCAGTAGCAATTTGCAGTGGTGTAAAACTGCGAACCGACTTGACTTAATCTACCCCTTAACACCACGTCGACCACGTCACAGTTAGAGAGACTATCAAAACTAGTATACAATAATGCAATACAACGGCATGCAACTGTGCCATGTACATCATCATAAAAAAATGTTTCAACAAAATCATACTCACTGAAGGTCATTGTTAAATGTACTAATGTGTGCAGAATCTGATGGCCAAATGTGTTTTGCTAGATGAGGTTGCCTCTATGAAGTCAAAAGTGTTGCAGATGGGAAAAGTGCTGGGAGACTACGTTGAAAAAAAAAACTAAGCTTCTATCTGTATTAGAAGTCCTTATACAAAAATCCACCGTATTTATTGAATTACCTCTTGTTTTATATGTCAAAATGACTGCTGTGAAAGGGGTCATTAAAACAACAAAGGCTGTGCCCGCCTAAGACATTTGTGTCGTGGAGCGCAGTTCTCCACTCCTGGAAACTACCACATCCAATAAGAGACATTTTATGAAATGAATACATGGTAGTGTTACTGAAATTGATCATTAGAAAATGGTTGTAAAAGCCCAACAATTCATTCTGCTGATCTGCCTAATGTTGGGTGCTTATTCTGTATGTGGCGTGGACTGAGTATACCATTGGGTGACATTAACCTTTCAATGTAATGTTTATTTATGCTGTCTAGGCGTCTGCCTCATGGATCTGCCTATAGGCATCCCTTTCTATGTGCATACAGTATTGATACATTACTTCTAACAATAAATCAGTCACAATTTCTGTATTTCTTTTTATCTTCATGTCTTACTGCATGACACCAGAGATATCAAGTAGGTATCCGGTATCGTGTTAAAGTCATCTTACTTTAAAGTGACCTAATTCCGGCAACCAATAGGAGAAGAGCAAGCATGACATATATGAAATATGGTTACCCTAGCAACGACAGTCAGTCACAGTCAGTGGAATGGTGACAAGGAGTTCGGTATCTACTTAAATGTCTTTGTACTCTCCCCCACCTAAAGGTCTATTTTAGGAAAATATCCAAATTAGCCAAGCCGTTATCCAGGTCAGCAGGATCATTTTTTTTCTTGTTTTGATAGTTACATTTGTTGAAGCGCAACTATAACAATTTTTAACAATTGTGAAAAGAATACAGTGGTAAAAGTGCTCATCTTAATATGTTTAGGCCTAGTTTACACACCCCTCAACTTCATCTCTCAACACTGCATCACATCTTTCACCTAGGCTTTTCCCCTCTCACATTAGCTACTGAGTTCCACACCACTGGCTGCTTATTGACTGCTGTGGAAAAGGCAAGAGTTGCTCGTTTGCATCATGATAATTTAGCTTTTCCTTAATGTCCTGTGTCAGTTAATGGAAAGACTTCTATCTCAGCAGTGACAATTTGGATGAACCACAAACCAGCCTCTGCAAATATATGATGGCATCATTTGTATGTGCGGAGTAGCTCTGCAGAAGATTCCAAGTTTCCTTTATCAATCTATTTCAAAAACATAAGAGCAGATCACAGCAGTCCCCAAATATTACATCGATGTGTCCCCTTGTGGCCAGTAAGCGTCATTACATAAAACGTATGCGGATAACACAAATACTGAGAAACAGACTGAATTTGAGCCTTTTAAAAAATTTTTTACTCTTTCCTATCAAAATGAACAAAAACACGATTGTCATCTCTCACTAAAGCATTATCTGAATCAATTAATTTGTGTTGTGTGAGAGATGTGTTAAGATGATTTCTGCTAAGAAAACAGCTGGACCAAGAAACGCAAATGTTAATGCTTATATTCTGCCAAGGTCAAATTTGGCAGAAATAAAAACACCTCAAATGTTATTCTGTGGGTCAAGGGTTGCTTATTATGCAAATTGCCCCACTGGTATTTAAAATGAAGAATGGCTTGCTCACAGACACATTTTTAGAAATAGGCAGAAGAAAGATTTACTTGCTTGTGTAATGTTACCAATGTTGGGAAAGTTCATTTTCCATTCAAACTACAGTACTTCAAAACTTATTTTTGGAATGAACGTCGTTCCTCGTCAATATAAAAAAAAATATGTCCATCGTTGTTTTACATAGTTTTTAACGATGGAAAAACTTTTGAAATGATTTATCTCACTTGCATTTTTATATCAAAAAATCCTGGCATTTCAACAAGGGTGTGCAGACTTTTATAGCCGTTGTGTTAAGTGGGCGCTAGGACCTAGCGGGGCCAGTGCGCGACTCCGCGTTTTATTTCAGCGCTTTTGCTTTCTTCAGTCAAGAGCAGAAGTGGCAAGCGCGTCATCCGGAGTCGAACTAGACACTGAGCATCTCCTGATTCCAACGACCATAACACGTTGTTTCGACGGCAGAATACCACGACTTGAACTCGTATATGTTTTCCAAGTCAACATAACGAGCACTCCCATGCTCTTTTTGAATGACTAAGACACCTTAGTGATGTCTTCATCCGTGAGCGGGACAGAGGAGGTGCACGTGTCGGCGTTGACGCCCCTGAAGTTGGTGGGGCTGCTTTGCGTCTTCCTCGCCCTGTGCCTGGACGTGGGAGCCGTTCTGAGCCCGGCGTGGGTCACGGCGGACGACCAGTACTACCTGTCCCTGTGGGAGTCCTGCTGGAAGCCCGTTAGCTCGGCGGAGTGGTCCTGCAACAGCACGCTGGCTACCGGTGAGCGACGCATTGAAAGTACTTTTTGGGTATTGTTGTTTTAGAAAGTCAAATCATGGCTGTATTCATATTTAAATGACGCAAAGGGTGCAAAGGATAACAAAGAGACTCTGCTAGAAAATGTGCAGATGGTTTTCTGGTGGTGACAATTATGGAAGATCGGCCACGAGAGACTTCTAAATGACTTGAAATCATTTGCCAGTTAATTTAAAATGTTTGCACATGAAAGAGAAGAGTGCACGATAGGCATGCTCACGTGGGAAATAAACTTGCCTTTTTTTTAGGGTGAAATCAAAGTATGGTGAGTGGGACAACTTTCGATTTAAATGTGTTCTAAGCTTTTCGTTCAATATTTATCTTGGGAATGATGTGGGAATTCATTGGGGCCAAGTAACGCTCCAGCTGGGGTTTCATTTGGCCTTTTGTTACTCACAAAATGAGCCTTTTGTGTGTCTCCTCACTGGCCCACAAGCGAGGGCAACTCCGCGTCTGAGGACTCCCCCCAGAGATCCAGATGCCTGGAGATTAGTAACCTGGGAAACAAGTGCAGCGCTCTATCAATGCCAATTTCCCCACTGTGAACGAAGCCACGATATGGAGTTGTCACTTGAAATGCAATGCATGGAGGAATGTCATGATAGCAGATTATCATGCTCCTTGTATCAAAAATGTATCTGGTGTGTAGGGTGGCTCGATCATTACACTTGAAATCAATTGATGTAGCACCAATGCAGCAATTCTTGATAGGCAGGTTGTGTCTGTGTATTTTTTTTTGTAAATAATGTTGTAATTTTGTTTTCTTTTAAATATACAGTATGTTGCATGTTGACCTAAAAATTGAACTTTGAAAAAGCATCAAGAAATGCATTAGGAAAAGTGTGGTGTATGTACCAGTGATGGAAAAGAGGAAAAAATATGATGATGATGATGATGTGATGATGACGACGACCATAGAAGAAGAACTGCTCCTTGATGCCACGATGGAAAGTGGTGCATGTGATTCTTTTCTGGCTGCTCACCATATGGAGAAAGGGACAATAAATTGTCAAAATAAATAAAAAAGGAAAATGGAATGTTGCTTCCACCCCATTTGTTAGGACGTGTGCCTCACAGTTCTGAAGTTCTGGGTTCGAATCTCGAGTCCGGTCATCCTGTGTGAGGTTTGCATGTTCTTCAAGTTTTTGCTATTCGGGTTTCGTCCCACATTCCAAAATGTTAGGTCAGATTTCAAATAGTCTTTTGATTTTTTTAAAAAAATCATAGTGTTTCAAGAGATAATGAATTCGTTTTTAAATATGTGAACGAGTTCAATATAAAAATATTTTAGGATATGTGGATATATTGTTTTTATTGAATATTGTACACTTTATTAAAGTAATGACAATTAAAAAAATAATTACTCTTGTAAATCATTAATTTGATTGCATGTAAAATTTATTTTGCACAAAACATCTTTTATATAAACCCAGCATGAATTATGAAATTCAGATTCAGATTCAGAAAACTTTATTTATCCCCGTGGGGCAATTAGAGTATGAAATCTCCTTTATTTATACTAATTCAATTTCATTTCATCATCTTATTAAACAGTGATCGACCTATTTCTTACACTTGTATGACTGTTAATAATGTTGAAATGTTTGTTACACGGTGCAGGCTTTTCTGATGACAGTTAGACCGCCGCGGCATTCATCATTTCTAGTTTGACATTCTTTCTTCTTGGGAAATTTTGGAAATTTGAACAAATGGCCAGTGTTCGGGAATTCATTGCGTTCTCTGCCTTGAAGGTTGTACTGCATCCAAACTCATCTGGCAGTCCTCTCATTTCAAGTGTTTTTGTCTAGGTTCGGACTTTAGCGGCGAGCCTTGAACAATGTTTTTGTTCGCCTGACAAACTGTTGTCTTCCTGTTTAAGAGTTGACTAACAGAGGGTCACGCAGGCCACTTTCTTGCTTTCCTCCGGTGTAGACAAAAAGTACACTGTGGTGCCACTTAAAGATATGTAGCCTTTCCGTCGGCATACCAACAACAAACACTCAACCAGCCATTTCCTCCGCGCGCCTGAGTTTGGGTGGATTATTGATTTGAATCCTAGTCCAGTAATCAGACTCGACAGTCCCTCATGTCCCACCAATATTCGCCCCTCAGTGTCACGCTTTGGGCATTAAATAAATCCTGTTACTTTGAGACACTGGCTGCCCACTCAGCAGTTTAAAGCTTCAATCCCGAGTATTTAGCAAAAAGCAGAGGGGACTTTTTATTCTCAAGTGTTCACAAAAAGTAAAAGATCCTATTTATAGACGATACAGCTTGCTCTGATCTTCATACCGGCCCACCAAATATTAACGCTATCAAGAGTCCTATTATATGTGTTGCATTCATTTAGCCGTTTTTAAATGTTTTTTTGAAGCTAAAATTTAGAAATTTGATTTTACAAGTCCCCCTCCCCTCCCAAAAAAAACCCCACATTTTTTGTCATATTAGTTAAAACTGTCACTATGACCTTACAGTAGCACATGAGACAGTAATCTGTGGGAAAACAAATATAAATATAAAACTCAGTTCACCTTGGTCAAATCTGCTGCTGAGTGATTTCAGTGCCTTAATTGTTTACAAAATTAAGATGTCTTTATTGTTAGTGCTTTTATTTTTTGTAATGTCATTTATAAGTCTAACACCGAGATGGGTCTTTTCAGTTATTAAAAAAAAATCTGCCGTTTCCTTCTCATCTTTTCGCAATAAACAAATATCAATCATTGTTTTTTGCACTGAAAATATATGGAGCCAAAGCCTCCAAGAAACACAACCTAACCGATATTAGACTTTAATGTATCATTGCGCCGCTAATAGTTCCATCCATCCATTTTCTGATCCGCTTTATCCTCACAAGGGTCGCGGGGCGTGCTGGAGCCGATCCCAGCTGTCTTCGGGCAGTAGGCGGGGGACACCCCGAACCGGTTGCCAGCCAATGGCAGGCCTCTAATAGTTCTATACTATACTGAACCGGTTGCCAGCCAATGGCAGGCCGCTAATAGTTATATACTATATATGCGAATGAATTTGCCCATCTAAAATTGAAGTGTGGCCCCCTCGAGCACTTAAAGTTTGCCCACGCCTGCTTTTGACACAAGGAGGAATGTGTGATGCGCATGTAAGAGAGTAGAGGCCGCGTGTGTATGTGTCCATGTGTGTGTGTGTGTGTGTGTGTGTGTGTGTGTGTGTGTGTGTGTGTTTGTGTGTGTGTGTGTGTGTTTGTCAAGCGAGTGTGACATGTGCAGATGAATGTGGAGACGATGTGCGAGCTGGTCCGTCGTGTCATTGTTGGTGCTTTTGGTTCTGTATTTTTAACCCTTTCAGGGACAGCGGTTATGACAGTGGACAACTTATCATTTTATCAGGTTACAGGGTGCATGAAAGGGTTTTAAATTGTGGTATCTCAGCTATCCAGAGGGGTTAAGGGTTTGATGTGGGCTGCTATGCTTAATTGACCAACTTCCTGTTTACTACGCGACATAGGCGTGTGTGTGTGTGTGTGTGTGTGTGTGTGTGTGTGTGTGTGTGTGTGTGTGTGTGTGTGTGTGTGTGTGTGTGTGTGTTTGCGTGCGCATGCGTGTGTGTGTGGGGGGGGTGCATGTGCATGACAGTTAGACTTAAGGCTCTTCAATGACACACATCTTCGCCTTTTTGTTTTGTGTGCAAAAAAAAAAAACTAAATTGGTGCCCAAGAGGGCTTTATTTTCCCTATAACTCAATGTTCAGATTGGCTCTTGAGTTGGGTATCTCCTTTTCCATCTGTCATCAGACCAGCTATAGATTAATGGTTTGGCACTTTCTCGCTTGTCAAGCCTTTAAGCGCTCGAGCTCTTGCTGTGTGAGTCTGTTCCAAATGTGAAATGAGAGCATCCTGCGCGCTGATAAGACTTTTGCTTGACGCTGCAGTTTGGAGACATGATGGAGCTGTAGGCACCAAATTGACCCAGAGAGGAGAATGCTTGAGATATGCCAAAGTATTGGGACATGTGGCCGCAGTGGAAAAGTGACACTTTACAGCTATGCAGTAAATCCTGGTCCATCGCTGGTTCTGGGTCCAAGGTCCCTCTGTATCGTGGATTAAATTTATTTATTTATTTATTTTTGCACAATTTATGATTAGAGTCGAACCTCGTTTTCAGCACTATAATATTCACATTTCAAAGCCCCGAGTTCACGTCATTCATTTTCCATTTGCCTAGATTTCTCTGACAATTACTGAACGTGAAATCCTCATTAATCCTGTTTTGTCTGCCTAGAGCTGAAGGTTCATTTTATGCAGTTTATGTTTTAAGCATGTCGTTAAATGTCACATATAGTAAGGGCAAAAAGAAGGTTAATGGGGGTTGAGGGGGTTCTCGTTTTACGAGGATCCTGTCATATGACAATGCCAGATTATGAATAAGGTGCAATGAACTAGTTCTCACAGTGGAATAATCACGTGGCACACAGAGGCACACCCAGTTACCACTTACTGTTCCAGTTTTCATGTGGTTGTTTCATATTCATGGCCTAGAAGTGTTTTTAACCTACAACTATTTCTGTCATTATAACTGTCCTATTGTGCTAACGTCAGTTAGCAATAGACTACAGCACCTTAGATCCTCTGTACAAATAAGTGTAAAACTTTTCAATAACTTGATAAGTACCGCTCACGTGTCTACGTTAACAGCAGTGATACCTGTGTGAAAGGGTATACACATCGAATTAAAAAAACAATATACAGTATACTAGAAATATACAGATAGGGAAGTGAGGGAACTCAACCGGCTTGTCATTCCTGCTTGTCTTCCCGTTTCTGATTTTCTTGTTTTATTTTATAAATTTATTTTGCCACGTTTGGCTAGTGACCAGTCCAGGGTGTATGTACCCCGCCCTTGAAACAAAGTCACTTGGGAGAGGCTCCAGCTTACTGTAATGAGGGCAGGCAAGATCGAAAAGAGATGGATGGATCTTTTAATTCTGTATCATATTGTCATCGGAATTTTTCCGCGAGTCCTCCCAAACCATGCACTTTCTGAGTACCCACTGTCTACCGTTGGCGTTGTTGGCAGAGTTATAGTGTAATAATCACTTGGCTTTATACAACACCTTTCAAGGGAGCCGAGGGCACTTTTAAATGGAATAGAATCGATAACTACAAACCATAAATAGGAAGCCAGCGCTTCTGGATGAAAACGGATTATTACACAATTCCGAAACAATATTTATACAATTCAGTGTCTTTCACCATTGACGGGTCATAACACCTCAGGGTCGAGCCACTTAGACTTCACAGTGACAGGGTAGGTCCCTCTGTACTGGGGGGGCTCATGTTATTGTAAACCGGAGGGAAGGAGTGCTCTGCTTTTTGTGGGCTTACACTTAACATCCTGTGGTGACAGGGCCCATTATAAACATTAAATGCTGAACCATATTTGGTCAAAAGTGGTTCGTGTTTGTTTATACTTCAGATGCTTGGCCCCCGGTTTCTCTCCGACAAGACTTGGGAACTCCACTTTAAGCAGCTTACGTTCCCTCAATTTGCCGGTGGAGGTTTTAATCATTTTCTGCCTGAAACGAACGGATATATTCTTTGGAACAACTCCATGGCCTCCATAACAATCAATTGAAGTTGATATCAAGTCTTTCATGAGCTTTATTTCTTTCAAGACACTTTTCTTGAAATGGCTTCCTGCACCTGTTTACTTGCAGCTGTCCTCTTTCTGCAGTGCAGACCAAGGCCATTATCGGAGACTTCCTCTACATCTCAACAGTTAACAAGCCATGGATAATTAGGCCTGTAAAGCAGCACCTCGTCGACACTTTGCCGCTATACATGGCCAACATGCTATACGCACTTAGTGGCCACAGCATTGGGAGCGCCAGCACTGTGAAACGCGATTCAACACAAGGGCTGCATGCGCTGTGCAGCATTAGTAGTGAGATGTGTTTCTAATATTTTGACATGCTCATGCAACCAAATTATTAGGACATACATATTGTTAAATGAAGAGCTCCCCAAGAGGTTCTGCGGGTATCACCTGAAATGTTTTCGAAGATTTTGCAAACTTGTCTATATTCGGGATTTGGTATGTTTTCGAGAAAAAAAAAAATCAGCCTAATCTTGGTTAGAACTAAAGTTATGCAATGTGCAAATCCCTCAGTCCCAAACAAACGGCATATTAAATTAAGCAATTAAACCAGAGAAAGGAAGGCCAGACGAAACAAACGTGGCCCTCGTGAATGGAAAACTTTGAATGCTTCCCACAAACGTTAACCCCTTTGCAAGCCGAATCAAAGTAAAACGGTGCAGTGTTTCACAAAGGCGAATAAAGGGTCAGTGGCCTGATTTCAAGTCAGGCAGCATGCTTTTCTGCTTTTCTTTTATTGAAGGCACATTTGAATGCAGTGAGACCCATAAACAAGCACTGAGAGAATTTTGAGGGCAAATCATTGGGTGGTTACAAAGTGGCGAAGTTAGTTAGTTACCTGATCTCAACTGTGTGGACAAAGAACTGTGAATATTCACCCCGTGGCAAAGGTCATCACCTGATCCCAAACCACGAGAGCATGCTTTTCACTTGCCGAAGGCAAAAGCGAAGGGAGCACCTGCCACAAAGAAGCACTGGAGACTTTTTGAAGGCAAAGCTTGGAAAACAGTATTCTTCATTGGCCAGCTTCGTCACCTGATCTCAACCTAATCAAGCATGTTATTGAAGACCAACAAGCAGCGAGTGAAGGTGGCTTGGCAAAACGTCTCCAGTGAGCAAACTCAGAATTTTGTCCTTTCTCTCTCTCCGGTCATTAGTCCCCGGGCAAGAAGCCACCTTTGCTTTTTACGCAGAACCCAGCCAACTGGGATAGTGCACAATGTGTATTTAGATCATGAAATGGATAATGACACGACTTTGCATGAAAAGTTTGTGTCGAGTATCCCAACATTCACCATTTATACAGGCATGCTCTGTCCTGGCTCTGAGAGTACCTCTGACCGGCAGAATACTAGCGAGCGACCTCATCGCGCCATATCCGGCTGCGTGGCTTCCCATTTGGATTTCGCTTTCCAGTCAGGACGGGAAGTGGGGGTGGGATGTCAGGTTTTCTTTCTCTCCCTGATTGAAATGGTGAGAATGCTGCTGAGCTGGCATCTGTGAAGTGGGATGGATACTCATCATCTGAGTCACCTCAAAGCCGTGCTTTGTTTCGCTCTCTTTTCTGCACATATTGGCTTCCTGCATTGTAGCGAAAGCAGCGTGTTCATGTTCACATTTTCGCGTCGAAATGTTACAAAGCCATTTGTCACCATGCAGACTGGCAGATCGCCACGCTGGCCCTGCTGCTGGGAGGGGCCGCGCTAACCCTGCTATCCGTCCTTGTGGCCCTCGTGTCCCTGTGCTGCAGTTCTAGAAGTCGCTGCTACAAGCCCGTGGCCATCATGCTCTTCTCTGCAGGTACACAACTCATATGAGATGTCACAGCTGGAAAAAGAAGCATGACAAAAAGTCCCTTCATTTCTTTTGATTGTCTTTCAATTTCATTATTCTATCATGACACTTAATCAGGTATACTTTGCAAATTTTAAGGCAATCCAATACTACTGATGCCTCCAAAAAAAATGAAGAAAAAGATAATGACGCACTGTTTTGATTGACGCTCTCAAAGACTGATTATTGTAATAGTAACATTATACAGAAAGGTATTTTGAGACCATATAGACCATCTTGTGTCACTGTATAACAAACCCCATTACATTAGAAACAACTTTGAATTATGGAGGGTTATTTTGTGCCAAAAATGAAGCAATTAATTCATTCAAAAGAAAAAAAATCATTAATGGTGGCATGTTGGTCGCCTCACAGTTCAGAGGTTGTAGGATTGTATCCTGGCCTTCTTGGGCACTCTTTTCGTGTCCAATGCAAAGTGCAGTCTAATTGTGCTCACTCGTGGCATTTTCTTACTTTTGTTATTTTTTTGTAGACAGGCGCAAGTAAAAAAAAAAAAAAAAAAGTCAGTTTGCTCCGTTGTGGGAGTGAACACAGCAGACTTACTGCCCAGCCAATGAAAGCGGCTCCACTCACTCAATTTAAATTCAGCACAGGAGAGTCTTGGACATTGTGAAAGCAGAAATATAGGCTGTCTGGAGTCCATGCCTAAGATCAAAGCATGTAAAGTACATTTCAAATGGAACTGCAAGCAGACCTCCACTTTAGGATGATGTAATGTTGGTCAGGGCGATCACAGTTCACCACTGTGAAGTGGGCACTTGGAGGTTACTGATGATTAAAGCCAGCCATGAACATGTTATTTGTTTGCGCCTAGGGCACAACGGGAGGGTAAAATTACTTAGTGCAACTTTTAGCCTCTGTACCTGTGTAAAGTACATGTCAAATGTCGTACCAGATTATAAGATTGTGATGGTGTGCCGAAATGACGTGACCTGTGAGCTTTCGTGTAAACAATGGCACTTTCCCACTTTCCTTTTCAGTGGTCCTCCAGACATGCAGCCTCGTCTTGTTCCCCATCAAGTTCATTGAGGCAGTCACTCTGAGGGTGTACCACGAGTTCAACTGGGGGTACGGCCTGGGGTGGGGATCCACCATCTTCTCCTTTGGAGGGGCCATCCTCTATTGCCTCAATTCCAAGAACTATGAAGACTACTATTAGATCATGAAAAAGAAGAAGAGGAAGAGGAACATCACGCCGTCTTGAACTTTCGGTCACACTGCACGATCACGGGGCAGAATAACAGCAAAAACAAATGATTTCAAAGACAGTCCAGAGCTCCAGATTGACCCTAATTGGTGGTGTTTTGCCCCTAAAATTTAAGACACTGAAACTAAAGTTTTCATATACTCGCACATGTATGACCAATAATTAAAAAAAAAAATCTTTAATATGTTTGTTGCTGGCAAATTTCTACCCCTCACGTCCACCTATTTATCAGTAAACATGAGTAGAAGTGTGAATATTTACTTTGCAAGTCATTTTGTAATTCATGTACGCCACTAAATTTTCTATTTACACCCGTAAAACTTCATATTCGGGGTCACTCTGCTCCTAGAAAAAAAAAGGAAATCTGGAGCTCTGCAGAATTTTATGACAGACAATATGCACGCACACATCTTTGGGATGTTGAATGAACAGGTGGGGGAAAGAATCCACAATCTGACATTTAGAGGCAGATAGCTTGACTCAGACGTACTATGTAGACAAAAGTATTGGGCCATGTGTTCAGTGCACCGACAGGGAGTGAAAAAGGAATCAAATAGGGCGTTAGAAACCAACTTTGCAGGTATAACGGCTTCTGCTCATCTGCTCACGTTGATGTGTGTCCGTTCATCCATTTGTGGCTTGATGTCAGACTTTTGTGGTTTCGGTTTATCACACCAATTTGATCCACTTTTATCTTTGTGGAGAGGAAAGGTCCTTCCCACAACGCTGCAAGCAATTGTCAAAAATGTCTTTTAGATCAAGAATTCAGATTGAAGGAGCTGAGTCCAACTCCTGACTGATGAAGTGAATAATAAGTGCATGTGTGTGGCTATTTTTGTCGACAAAGCGTATGTTTGCTTCCCCTTTAAGTGGAGCTCCAGTAGGTCGTAGAATTAGGCAGGCAATCTAGGGAGAACAGATGGATCCATTGACCCCATGTGAAGATGAATGGGGGAACTGAATCAACCAATCAGAGCAAGATGGAAAATAACAGGAGAAAATCAACTCCATTCCTCAATCAGGGGATAAATGGCTCCAGGAAGGAAAAATGTCCCATTGAGATGACATCCTGAGGATGTCACAAATAACGGTAGCCTCAGACAAAAACATGGAACACCCAAGGAAATACGGCATTCCTTTTGGTCTTCTCATTAACTGCTCAGCAGCATCGTGTGACGGGGGGTGTATTTGAACAATTTAAAATCTGAACCAGTGGGAAGGAAGTTGGTAGATGATCATGTGTGCGGGATCTTCCAATTACGCACGTCCTCATGTGATGCCTCCTCGAGTTTGTGCTGTGTTTGTCAAAGAGGATCACTGTAGTTAGTAGTGTACTGTATTAGTCTCCTGTGTATCCCACCTCTGTATGAGATGCTTGGAGCAATGCTCAGTGCATGAAGATTTGTGTATTACAGTAAATCAGTAAACTGGAAAACTGTACTTTCAAAGGGACACTTTCCACAAGGATTAATGATCACTGATATGAATTAAAATGAAGTGACAAACATCATGAACATTTTTTGTAACACAACCGGACGTAAATTGTTGTTACATGCCATTTTGTTGGACAGCACAGATAAAAAATAAAAAGACATTAAAAATGTATTTTTCTGATATTCTTTGTGCATGTTAAATCATGAGATCAATTTCCTTTATACAATATAAAGACGATACAAATTCCCTTATATTTTTGTTGATTCATGTGGAAATCAATCTATGGTCGATGCATTCCATCCCATTACGGTTCTTTTTGTTGCCAAGCAGGTCACGATCAGTCATTTAAAAATAAAACATTTGTGACTCTATGTCATTGACCCTTTCAGGGACAGCGGTTACTACAGTGGACAGCTTATCATGTTATCGGGTTACAGGGTGCATGAAAGGGTGAATGGCCCTCACCAGTGGCTCACAGATACAAACTAACCTTTAGAATGGGATGCTAGTACAGTACTTCACTGTGCTTTCCTATGAGAAATTACATGGGTCAATGCCAAGAGCGAAATGTTGATGACGTGCAACATAAATTATCATTTTGTTTGAGTGAGCTTCCTGTTGTGCTCCCAAGTCCTACTTGTGTTATCGTCGACTGACTGACTGACGATAACCATGCACCAGGAGGTGAAGTGTTTCTCATGTGGGAGGTGCAGCCGCTCATTCCAACCACTCTATGCAGATATGGCAGCTGATCACGGTCAAGTCACAAGGCATCCGCTCCTTTATTAAGTACAGCAAGTTGAGGCATTCGCACAGGAAATCGACATCTTTTTATCACGTATACAGGGTGACATAATATGCATAAAAGTACCACGAGTATACTTATATGCATGTATTTTTAGTGTTCTTTTTTTCAGCTCTAACACAGAGCCAAATACAGTGTAATGTCTACATTTGCATTAGTCAGACCTTTTATAACATTGCTTTCATTATTCCATTGTCAGCAAGAGAGAAATCAACACAATTCCTGGATTTAAGAGCATCTTAAGAGTTCAGGAATGGATCCGGTTGTGTAAACAGGACAGTCAGTCTTTTGGTGTGGAATGTTTGCAGGTAAACCACAACCTCTTGTCACTCCTGATTTGCTTTGACCTTTCTCATGCGCAGTGACAGCCACTGTCGCAGTCTGAGCCAGTACGTCCTTTCATTTTAGTCGCCATTGGAGTCGCCACCCCTCCCGAAAAATAGTTTTTAAAATCAAAGTGCACAGGAGTAGCAGATAAAAGCAGGACAAGTGGGCGGGCAGGTCTGGTGGCTCTTCCTCAGCAGGTAAATGGGTCTTAAATACATGATTGATGTGAGATCTTCTGGGCAGGGGCAAAATAACAAACAAGAACAACAACCCCCTCCACCTCCGCAGATTCTAGAGGGGTGGAGCAAGGATTGGCGGCGGGTGTGATGGGAAGGGGCGGGACCGGAGTATGACGTGCGATGTTAAGATCAGGTGTAGCGCGGCATCTCGCATTGTTCACAGCGGTTTAGAGCAGGGTGGTTGAGGAAGGTGCAGCTGTCGCAGCTCCACTGAGCACCTTCAAAGTCCTCGTCCCTCTGTGGCCCCTGCACTGGCTTGGGGCAATGGTCCCCTTCTGACACACACAAGAGAGAGAAACACATTCTAGTACGAATATTTTCAGATATGGCAAACGAAAAGTTTTTTTCCAAAATGTATATGACTTACAAGCTCAAATCTATGTGCGTTTAGTCAAACACAAAGGTGAACATTTGAAGAAAAACACAGGGGAATCACTCCACCATCTACTATTAGGTACTTAATAAATGTACTATATTGTATCTTTAAAAAAAAAAAAGGTGTAGCCTAATTTTACCATATGCACAGTTTGAAGATTAAAATCAGTAATTCTTTCATGTACCACAAGAGGGAGCCTGCATACCACCAGTGGTCCTTGGAGAGGCACTGGATTAGTGTTAAACGATCACTAACCCATGCGAACAAGTCAGATATGCAGGACTCAGTAATTTTTTTTTTTTTTTTTTAAAACACTTCTTAGACATTCAATTGAAATAAAGTGGAACCTCCAATAGACTAAATGCCAGCGCATTCCTGGGTGCCAGTCCCATTTTACCCTTCCCACATGCTTTAAAGACATTTAAACTTGATAAAACACATCGTAAACATAATTGAACACACAAAAATGACATTGAAAAAAAAATGGACAATTTAAGAGATGAAGCCTGATGGGTGACATGTGGCACCAGGGAATCTGCATGTGAAAGTCTGGGCATGGGCTGAAGACGACGGCAGCTGCTGCATGAGTGTGCATGTGTCTCACTGTTCGCCAAGCATTTTGGGCCACATTCTCCAGTGTGCTTAAGTCAGAAAAGGCATGCTGCTGCACACTTTTTGGGCTGTGCAGATTCTCCCACCGACTTAAAGGTGTCACTAAAGTCTAGCGCCCCGTGACAATGAAATATCACACCGCATCATTTCACTGCAGCTGACAACAAATGACGACTGTCACCATCTCTTCCATTTGCTGTTTGGGGCTTGGAGTTCGGAAGCGACGACCACAGAGAACTACAGTCATTGGCTGTGAATGTGAGATTTTTTTGGGGGGGATTGAAGGCATTTGATTTGCATTGCTTGGCAACCTGTTGAACTCTCAATTTGAACCGTCTCCTAATTTATCGTTCATTTATGAACAGGGTATTGTGATTACATTGATTTTTATTGGGATTTATTCAAAACAAAATCACAAGCTCCTTCCAGGGAGCTGGTAAATGAGCCGGACAAACATCACTGGCAATAACGTCCAGATCCATGACGCTTAAGGTAATTTCACAATCCAAGTGTGACATATTTTCAAAATGGATCTCTATGGGATTCTCATGCCTCAATAAAAATCCACTATTTGGAAATTAGGGCCACCCTGAGACCTCACCGAATCATGCCTCTTTGCTGGTTGCACACATACTGTATTTCCAGGTGACGCACGGCGGGTGTGTCAGAAATCTAGATGGGAGATTCATGGCACCTCGAAAGGTCGCAAGAAGCTGATATAAGCGCAAACGAGAGAATGTGCCCTTTAATGAACGGCTGAAAAGTGATTCAAAGAGAGTCAACTTTTCTTTCATGGTAAAGAAGTGGGTCGATTATTTATTTTGGAAATTTGGTGTTTGTAAAATAATAGAACATAAGATTTTGAGAAAACTGTCAAAATGTTCTAAAATGGCTGGCAATATGAAGTTGGTGGCACCGGAAATGGCTGACAGTGAAAGGGTTCAAACAACTTGGAAATGTGTGAAAATTTAAAGTGCTCCTTTTTTTGGGAATGCGTTGCAAAGAGTCATAGATAATCCTTTGGTGCTTAGTGAACTTTCTGCAACATAAAAGCATCTCATGATGACGAGCCAGATTTTTCAATGAGTGCTTTTGTTTTTAAAAGTCACTGGAGTGAATGCATCCTTAGATGGTTAAGAGAACTGCATAACAATGGTTGGAACACAGTTTTGTGCAACTAGAGGCATATTGTCCTGAAATGTGAGACTTCAGAGGCCTTGAACTGCTGAGGGCCAATTGTAAATTCAACTGAATGTCTCCACGAACTTCAATACAAACCCAGTCATGATCACTAACAAACAATGGAGGAACAGGACTGTTTTAAAGTATCGTGTCCAGTATTGCAACAATGACATATTCATGCATATCTGTACTAAATAAAATGTATTATTATTATTATTTATTATTAATCCATGCAGCTAGGAAGAAAAGTTGACATATGTTGGACCTCGCTCACCTTTCCTTCCTGGCTTGGGTGGCACCACTGGGCCAGGCTGAATGTTGTCATAGAAGTTGTTCATTGCTTGTGGATCAAACTTTCCTGTGGACCAAAAAGATTGCCAAAGGAAGTTTTGTATGCATTCTTTCTTTAAGTCTGCGTTATTTTAAATAGACACCTAGATCACGCAAGGGGAAACTTTTTCCTGTCAAGGGCCATTCCATTCTTTCTTACTTTTGAGGACCATACTATGTGTATGAAATACACATGATAATTAAGATATGTTATGAGCTTCCCTGAGATGTGATTTAATTTTAGAATTGCAAGCCATGATGGCTCAAATGCTCTCCTTGGGTTGTAGGTTGAAGACTAAGGGGGAAAAAAAAACTAGAGGTTTTTGCGTGCAAAAATGAGACACAAATTTCAACAGACATGAAAGCTGATCAACTAATCAGATGCAACCAGCACACGGACTGCCAACCTCGTTAAAGTGCTGCACACCTCATTTCGCTTGTTGGGAGAGGAGTATTTACAAATACTATAGATTCATTTTGTGTGTGCTCTCCTTATTCATCAAACCAGAGAAATTTGCAATTCCTAACTTTGCGTTTTAGCAAATGTGCCAGCCAGCATGGTGGTGGTTTTCGTGCTTTCACCATAATTATTACAGCGATCGATTTACTTTCCGTACCTCCGTAGTGTTCGTCCTCCGCTAAAAACTCCCACATCAATCACTTCAAACTTCAGATTTTTATTGAGTGGATCAAAGAGGCACTGTATGCATGTCAACAGCCTCTTACAAGTGCTCTCTTAACATTCTCTTATTTGTACTCCTTCAGTCAGCGTTTCCATTTAAAATTGTCATTGTGTCATGCAAAACTGGTTTTACAATTGCGGTGTTTTAGCATTAACAGAATAGCGTTCGTCGACTTCTTTTTGTCATTTGTTTACGATGTTCACCTACAATTGCGAGGAGCTTTGCCGCATCAAACAAGGAGCTGGCGCCCGCTCGGCTCACTACATGTTCAAATAAATTTATGTACAAAACTTTATTTTAATTTTGGTTGCCTTTTAAAGTGCTGCATGAATAAATAAACTGAATTTTGCACTTGCTGTGTTCTCCTAAATGCTCCGGGGTGAAAACCAAACAATCAGCACTATCTAAAGCACGAAACACTCTTCGACAGCTGTTGCCAGCAGTGCGCGCAATCTGTTACGAGTTAATTGAACACACATTTGAGTGCCCGCTATTAAGGATCTTGGTAAATTAGGACTCAAATCGGCAAAATCAGATTTTGCTGTCCATATGATCTGTGAAGGACATTTTAATGGAACACAACAACAGAAGATAAGTAATATGAATAAATCTTGAAA